AGCTATCTACTTTCCTAGCCAGCACACTGGTACAAGTACTACTACTACTGGTACTAGAAACTAACTATGTGGTTTACATTGAACTAGTAGCTGTCTTACAGGTTACTGGTGCAAGTAACTAATTTATTTACTATATAACAATGTAAACGCCGCTTTAGAAATTTTCCAGAATGCAGGTGGATTAATATAGATGGTGTATCTAATCCACCTGCAATCCAATGCACGGGCTACGTTAATCACCCTGTATATACATGAACAATTTTTCTGCCGCCGTGTTATTTTTTTCAGGCGAGCCCTCCTGGTAAGCAAACAGAATCCAGAAGTCGTTGGATGGACTCTTAGAGAGCCTATAATAGGAACCTTCTCCTAGTAGTAGGTAAGTACTTACATATTCAATAATTTCCCACTGGAAAAGTTTGAAATTTTAGTATAATGAGCTCCTAACTTTCCTCTTTTCCCCCTGAAAGTTTCACAATTTTCCCTTCAGTAGTTTTCCAGAAAATAAATAAATTGTATAAGAGTGCATTTCATTGGATATCACTAAAAATTGTGCCACTTCTATTTCTTAGGTAAGCCTCTTTCTAACGTTACCCAACAAAGTCCAGAATCTTCTGAGCCCGATCAAAAAAAAAATAGGCTATTCATTATTTGTGGTAAAAATCCTTTATTGAGATGTGTAAGTGCAAGGTAATAGTACATTTTCCACATATACAGTAAAACCCCGATTATCCGAGTCGCAATTATCCGAGCTCTGGATTAATCGAGCCAGTCTAAAATCCTGATTATCCGAGGTACGCATGTCCATACTCCGTATTAACCGAGTTTCAAGAATACATATACATATGGGCGTAGCACAAAAGTTCTGAGACCTATTCAGCCCTTAGACTGATACCCCAGAAAATAATTTATATTTCTAACTGGCCAGTCACGAATACCTACACTCTTCATAATTCATATTATATGTGCATTATTCGGATTATCCGAGTTTTCAGTTATCCGAGGTGGGTACTACAACGGTACTACCCCCCCCCCTACGTTATTTCGGATAACCGAGGTTCTACTATTAGTGCTTTAGTATTTTGAAATGAAATAAAACACAGATATTGCTGCGTTGGCATAATGTATTCATTCTATTCGGAAGACAAACTAATTACAATTGTGTTTTAAAAATAATGACTCCCACGCCGTCAATGGCATATATGGAATCATGAAGTCATAATACAGTTGCATGCAGTCATAAAACAGTCGCTTGCAATCATCATAAATTCTGTGCAGTCACATGAAGTAGTGTACAATCCATATACACTTACGAAATATCGTAAGCAGTCGCTGCGAGTGGAGCCTGCAATTTTGTTAGATATTGCTCAAAACTCAATGCAGTCAACTATCATCATAATGCAGTCAAATATAGCAGG